GGGACCGGGTACCCGGAACTGGAATTGGTTTAAACCGGGTACCCAGTGGGTACCGGGTCCGAAATTTTAGGACCCGGTCCCGGAACCGGTTACAACCGGGTCCGACATTTTGGACCCGGTCCCGGAACCGGTGGGACCAGTTCCGGGTCCGGACCCGGCGGATCCTAACCGGTTCCGGGTCCGGTACCGGGTACCCTGGGTCTTTGCTCACCCCTAATGTCAATGTCTCTGATATTTACATAACTTTAATTGTCGTAATTGATCAATTAATTAACAACATTATAAAATATGCGGAGTAATTAATAACATTGTAAAATATGCGGAGTACCTCATATTTTTGCGTTGTAACTTTTGTGTATTATCATCTCTCAATCTCTCTCTCAAATTATTACAATATGACACTTTTCAACCTATACTACTTATGATATTTGTCGATTTTAGAATCAACCAATTATTTTTACCTTACTCTCCTCCTTTAAGTTACTTTTACAATAAAACCAAAGCGCATACTTCCGAGTGCATTTAATAACTCAACAACATTGTCTTCAAGCTTATATCTACACCAATCTTGACCCATTTACCAAATCAACAAGTTTATTATGATAAAGCTTCAACTCATACTAGTTTCACATGATTACATGCTTCTAGAAAATTCTAATTATATAGATCATTATAAAGACTAAAAGAAGCCCCAAATATGAGTTTAATGAAAAGAAATGACAACATAACAGATTAACATTTGGGGTTTTGTAATTGTTAAATCCCACCATATCCAACAAAACATGTACTACATTATCATTGGACGGCGGAATGAAGTAGTTTGAGGTACCAAAAATGTTTTATAATAAACTCCTTTGTACAATTCATTAATAAATAATATCCATATACTAATTCTAACTCATTCCTTAATTAGTTTATTATCACAGCCAAGTTGGCTCTATTCTTCTGCTAGCTAAGCTAATAATCTTAATGGAGGCCATGAATAATAATACTAGACTTCCTGGCTTTAGGGTGTTAACAGTACAATATAATTATTGTGACTTCAGAAGAATTCTAATCAACCAATACGTTGTAGTATAAACAAATCTTTCCCCAAATAAGCTACGAGTGCGAACTACCACTAGATACAATCAAGTTAGCTTTTAGCTTAGCCTTGTATGATGACACATACAAGTTAGACCGATCTATGGGCGTATTGCACGCACGCTTCTTATAAGTTGTATAACTGTTAGACAATTAACGACTTAGCATGGCGGTTAAGGACTTGTATAGTTTTATTAGTGTAAAGTGTAATATGGATATAATGCAAGCCATGGTAGTTAGATAGTTATAAATTTAATTTAACTTAAAAAAAAAAAAAAAAAAAAAAAAAAAAAAAAAGCTAAGGAAAAAGGGGAATAAAATGTTTAAGTTGATGTGGATATTAAAGGAGAGAGAAAAAGGTAGTGGGGGGAAGGAAATCCAGCTCATAGTGCTGAAGGAGTTGATACTGACCCCACGTGGAGAGGTGCTACCAGTTCATGGAGTACAAACACAATTGTAAAGATTTCTCAATTATAAATTATAATTACTATTACGAATTTTTTAGGAGACCTTCAGAGCTGTCTCACAGCTCAGTTATATACTTATATGGACTCCCTCTAACTATAAACTATACCCTACATGCACCCTGCCCTTGTAAAAGTATTTGGGTGCGGTTTTATTTTTTAATTTAAAAAAAAAATCTTTCGATTTCTAAATAAATGTCTTACTATAGTTGATTTTAGATAGTGGAGTTCGATTGATTAATACGAAGCAGTATTTATAGAAAACTGGATACAAAAATTTGGTGGATTAAAAGTTACTCCGTAATAAAATAAGTTGATTTGTATGAAATAAAGCTTTTATCTAAGAACAAGTTTTTTGGGTGAAATGAAATTTTTATTTAGAGAGCATATAAAATATGAGGGATTTATATAATGTTAGTTGGATATTTGGAGCGTTAGTCACAGAGCAAGTATATATGCAAGTGCTTTTCTTTTAAACATTCTCTCTTTTTCATGAGAGCTAAGTGTAGCTCCCTTTCAATCTAAAAGGACACCCTTTTGCTTTGACTTGGGTACGTAGAAAAGGACTTTAAAAGAAGCATGGTTTCTAACTTTAGAAGGGTTATCCATGTAATATATATATATATATATATATATAACATGAGCTTTTAAATTAGTTCAACTTGCTTGAGAATGATCATTAATAAAGTGGCCTTTAGTCTCTACTATATTACGGAGTACTTGATTACTTTGTTTGTGGAAGTTATTTGAGGGTATCTCACTTATAAATTCGGAGCTTATAAGATTTTAATTAATCTAAACTCAAGTCAGGTTAGGCTTCTGATAGGGAAAAGATTTCTTAAAAACATACATATAGTTATGCATTCTAAATAATCAAACCTAAAACCTCTTATTAAGTTGGAATAAGTCTTTCATCAACCGATCCAAGCTCAAGTTGAAGAGAAAATGATACTTCAAATTCCAACCCCATAACACCATGATTTATTTCATAATTACAAACTCATCATATCACTTTGCAAAGTAATTCAAATTCCAAAAGGCTAAATTTAATACTAATGCGCCTCTTCAACTTATTATTTCGATTTATTTAAAATTTTAAACTTAACTTATCTAAAATTAAATTATCTAAATAGATGTAGAGTTATATAAACATATTTGAATTGAATTTTGTCTATAATAAATACTTGCAGATGTGTCTAAATTATATAATACATAACTTGCTTGAAATAACATTATATGTATATGAAACAAACTAATTTTGTCTAAACTACTTATCATATATGTGTAAACTTACTTCGTAATGAAATTTAACTCGTTCAAGACAATTAAGTGATACTCATAGTCTTTCAAACTAAAGAGTAACATGATTAAGACAAGAGGTCAAGAGGTTACTAAGCTAATGGGTCACTTACTTTGGGTTTGGGTTATGTCATATTTGGGTAAGGATAATGATTTTAATTCAAAAATAGGTCATGTGGACTCATGTCAGTCTATCAAGTAAGGAGATCTTTAATTCAAGAACAAGTCACGGTGGATGGGTCGGAGTGCATCTCAGCTATGTACATTTACAAAGCATATAGGAGGGCAAAAATGTAAATTCGGCAAGCTTTAGAATTAAAAATGAAAAAAGCTGACTTTACGGTGGTACATTATAATGTACTATTAAACTATAAGTTGTCTTAATAGTACTTTCGTGAACTATTATGCATGTGGTGGTACCTTTTGCATTCTATAAGTTGAACATTTTCCCCCAAAATACTAACCACCTATCACCTATTATGCATGTAGTGATACATTTTTCCATCCTATATGTTTGCTAACAAATAGCAACTATGCGCTAAGGGTTAACCTATGGGTAGATCCACTTAGATAGAGTCTCTCATATGATGAATTACCACATAGGTAACCTAGTTGGGTGAGGCATCAATTTGGGTAATTGGGTTGGATGTGATAAGTTCGAGTTGAGCCGAGTCAATTCAAAGTTAAGTCATACTTCCTCCGTTTCTTTTTAGCTGACACGTTTCTTTAGTCACGTTTGTCAATGCACAACTTTAACCATTTATATCTTTAATTACCAATAAGCAAAATTTGAAAATTTGATATTTTGAAATATATATATCGTGACGAATCTAACAAGATCCCACATGATTATATTTTTTCATTACGCATAAAGCACAAAATATGGACAAAGGCGAGTGTGTGAATAATGCTAAAGTCAAATCGTGTCAACTAAAAAAAAAAGGTAATATTAATTATTGTATTTGTAGTTTTGTACGAGTTGAAATCTAAATTGAGTTTCTTTAGATCATATCGGGTTGATTGAGCCAGGACACCTCTCGATTGGCAAAGTTAAGTCGATATTTTTTGTTTAGTAGGTTCCATATTACACCATTTCAAGTGAAAAATTAGAGTAATAATTTTACTTCGTGAGAACTCACAATTATTCGCGGAATCGCAGTACACTCACTTCCGTCTCTCTTCTCGTCTCTCTGCTTTATCAAGGTATTTTTTGTCAAATTTTTTGGTTAATTTTTGTGCTTTAGAAAGTCCGAAAAAACCTGATTCTCTGAACAATTAATAGTATATGTTAATTTTTCGCTAATTTCATTTAATTTGCATATTTTTTGATGCCATTATTAATGTCATGAGTTTAATAAGCTTGTTTTCAGAGAAATTTGTTCAATAGCTGGGTTAATTTGGGCTAAAAGTCTAATATCTACTGATTTTCTGGGAATTAGGGTTTTTCGTTTATTCTTCATAGCTAATTTGCTTGTAATTTGTTATTGTTGTGTATCCTTTCACTTTATCTGATGACCTTGAGCGATATTAGGTGCAATTGAGGTGTATGGTGGATGAAATATTGGATAAATGTTAGTTCTTCAAGATGAATGTGCTATTTGTAATATAGTATTGCGCTTTATGTTTTGTTAAATTTGGAAGTTGTATAAGAAGATTACTTGATTTTGGGCTTTGGCATGTGGCGGTTGCTCTACCTTAGTTTAAATTTCTGTAGTTGGTTGAATATGTTTTTTTTGGTGTTAAGAAAGTCACGGGGGCAAGTGATGAGAATCGATTCTAGGATGACTTGGAACCTTGAATATGTTCTATATCAATATTTTTGAAACAAGAGTTGTGGTTTAGGCAAGTTGGCAACATTAGGCATGGTGCGCTAGAAATTGAGGTTTGTTTTGTGCGTGGGTAATTGTAGATGACATGGGTAATTGAAGATGTTTAGACTCATCTAATATATGATACGAAGTATATATGAGTAGCAAGACTTACACTTTGTTTGGATATAAGGAAATGGAAGGAAAAGAAGGGAAGAGAAAAGGAGGGGGACAAACTCTCTTGTTTGGGAAAATGATTGGGGGAAGGAAGGGAAAGGAGAGGGAGGGATCCATTTTTTCTCTCTCTTTAATAAGCATAATACCTCTCTCTCTCCCCCCCCCCCTTTTTTTCCCTTCCCTTACTCCTCTTTCCCTCCCCTTCCTTTTCTTCCTTATTTGCTATCCAAACAAAGCGTTAGTGTGGTAAATTGCGGATTGGGAAAATGAAGGTTTTGTCCCTTTAGTGAATCTTATAAACATAGATATTTGTAGTTTAGTTGTTCTTGCAACAGGCTACACAATTTCAAGCTACTATATAAACTAAGTGTCTGCGGGTTATCTTTCTCTGTTTTGTATACCGTAAATCTTGGATGTGGCAAATTGTGAAAGTACTTCTGAAGTAACAAGGCAACTTACTTTCTAAAATTTGAAGTTGGAAACATGTCTGTTAGAATTTTATTTTGGTCTCACAAGGATAGTGGTTTGGTTTTGGTTCTTAGGCATATTGTAATAAACATGGAAGAGCTCCTAATCATAAATTAGGCTCTATGAAGCCCTCTTTCTATGTGAAACTCTAGTAGCCACCCTTTCTCCTTTCTCTTCGTGCCTCATTGTAATAGAGACTAAATTCTCAACTCCCTCCGAATCATATCAACCTCATTCTATTTCGTAATAGAGACTAATATTTATATAAAAAAAATTATACTTCTTCCGTTCTTTTAATATTATAGCACTAGTCTATTAAAGAAATTTCACAAATATTGCACAGGTTTTATTTTAGGACAAAAAATATCGTTTACATCACATGGACAATTTTGTATTATTACTTTCTCTTTCTTCCTATTTCCTACTACCAAAATTATTGTGCTCAACCTATATGGTGCAATAATAAAAAAAAAAAAATAGAGGAAATATACAATCGGGTGTAAGGTGTACCCAAGGGTAGTTTTCTAGCTCATTAAGTGCACCTACATATATGTGCACGCGAATGTATATAAAAGGTGCCTAAATTTTCATGTTATAAGGGTGTAGTGGCTAGGGCACATAAACTAGCGACTACAACTAGGAGATTAGGAGATACCCCTAACCATTGTGTTTGTTCTAGAACTACCCAAAAACAAAACAACTCCCTCCTTTTCTTTGTCGTCTTGTTAAAGCCTTCTTCACTTCACTTTCAAAAAAAAAAAAAAATTAGTAAAAAAAAAAAAATTAGTTCGGTAAAAATAAGTTCAATTTAGTAAAAATAAGTTTAGAAAAAAATTTGTAACTTCAAATATATTATAGAAATAAAGCAACCAATTCGAGGAAAAAAAAGATACTATAGTGTTTTTCTTCCTACTTTTGCTTTATTCCTTTATTGTGTTTGTATTCGAAGGAGAAGATCTTCGATTTGAACACTTATGCTCAGCCAATTTCGAATCGATAAGGTGAGCTTCGACTCATTGGCTGTTTGGTTTAGGTTAGGCTAGTTTGAAGTTAAATAAGATCTTTGATTATCTTATAATAGGTAAATTTCATATTTGGGTCGAGCTCGTTAGGTTAGATTCGAATACAATTTTATAGAAACTTGATACTCAATGCACACAAGATAATCTCTTTTAGGCTGCCTATGATGTACAACTATAACCATAATACAAACACAACGCCTTTCATATTTTTTTGTAATTATGTACCGTACTTGTATACTTCATATAAATTGTATTTTTTTTAGCAAAAATATATAATGTCATTTTTTATTTTGTTTTTACAATTTTAACCTAATCATTAAAGAGTAAACGTTGCAACTAAAAAATAACAGCGAAAAACTAAATTTTGACACGCAAACGCTAGGTTGCGATAGAAGAAGTTATAGGCAACTCGGTAGTAAACTTCGAAAACATGAGCAATAGAACACTTGCTACTTAAACAAAACCCTAGCAGACCTCACAAACCAGTAAGGAGAAAACGCCTCTTTCTCCTCTCACAAACTCTCGCAACCAATCGCAGCTTCATACTTCTTCTTCACCAAAGCTTCAACTTCTTAGCTTTCACGCTTCCTTCTATACCTACTTTCTCTTCCTTCTCTCTCCACTTTTGCTGCGATCTCTCTGCTTTCAATCAAGGTATTTTTCTCTCAATTTTTTGTTAATTTGTTATTGTTATTATGTTTTATGCTATGAACGATTTATATTTTTGTTTTTTTGATGATTTAAGTTCAATTTCTTATGTTTTGATGACTTTAAGGTCGATTTCGGAGATTTTTTGGATATTTTGTGTTTAATATGGCTAAAATCTGGTATTGATTTTGCGATTAGGGTTTTTCATGTACCAATCAAGCAAATTTGTTTGTAATCAAATTGATTTATGCATCTTCTTACCATAGTTGCCGACATAGCGCAAAACTATTGGAAGAATTATTGTTTTTCGAGATGAATATATTTATACAGTATACTATATGTTTTATTGCGCTGATTTTTGTAGTTGGTTGTGTTTGTTCTGTTTCTATATTATGGCGGTTAAATCTTCGAAGTGAGATTTGCTGGGTTGACATCATTAGGTTTGATGTGTTAGATATTGTGCTTTGTTTTGCGCGGTGGTAATTGTTGCTGGTGATTGTAATCAGGTTGATTATCGACATTTCTGAAAAATTGAAGATGTTTGGACTAAAAATACTTGGTGTGGTAAATTACATATTGTGATAATTAAGGATTTTGTTCTTTAAGTGAATCTTCTTTGGTTGGTGAGAGTAATTGTATATATTCGTAGTTTAGTAGGTCTTCTAACAGGCTAAACGGTATCAAGCTTTTAAATCAGCTGGGACTCTGATGTTGCCTTTCGTAAGGAAAAAAAGTCTCCCCAAGATGATTTGAAAGCAGGGTGAGGCAGATTCAATATTACCTTTATCTGCCCAAAAAATTTCTAGTAGTGAGAGATAAGCAGTGAAGACAAACATACTTTCTGATTCCTCATATCTGTCATAATTAAAGCAAATTTTTTATGTTAAAGAAGTATTTACTAACACTGAATCGACCTATTTAACCCATGCTATTCCCCATTTAAAAACAATAAAAGCAAAAAAATGGAACTTATTAAATTTGCTGCTATTTTCTTTCTAATCTTTAAGAATGCAAATATTTTAGAAAAAATGATAAAAAGAGGGCTTCATAGAGCTTAATTTATGATTAGGAGCTCTTCAATGTATATTACAATATGCCTAAGAACCAAAACCAAACCACTATCATTGTGAGACCAAAATAAAATTCAAAAGGACATGTTTCCAACTTTAAATTTTAGAAAGTAAGCTAGTACTTTCACAATTTGCCACATCCAAGACAAATTCTTAAAGGAAAACACATTTTTACGGTATACAAAATAGAGAAAGATAACCCACAGTAGCTTGAAATTGTGTAGCCTGTTACAAGAACAACTAAACTACAAATATCTATATTTACAAGATTTGCTAAAGGGACAAAACTTTCATTATCCCAATCTGCAATTTACGACACTAACGCTTTGTTTTGATAGCTAATAAGGAAGAAAAGGAAGGGGAAGGAAAGAGGAGTAAGGGAAGTGAAAAGAAAGGGAGGGGAGAGGGGAGCTCCATTTTTCCTTTAAATCTCTCCAAATTTAGAGGTATTATGCTTATTAAAGAGAGAGGGAAAATGGATCTCTCCCTCTACTTTCCCTTCCTTCCCCCAATCATTTACCCAAACAAGAGAGTTTTTGTTTAGAAAATTCCATATTACACCATTCCAAGTGAAAAAATTAGAGTAATAATTTTACTTCGTGAGAACTCACAATTATTCGCAGAATCGCACTACACTCACTTCCGTCTCTCTTCTCGTTCACTCTACTTTATCAAGGTATTTTTTTTGTCAAATTTTTTGGTTAATTTTTGTGCTTTAGACAATCCGAAAAAACCTGATTCTCTGAACAATAAACAGTTTATGTTAATTTTCGCTAATTTCATTTAATTTGCATATTTTTTATGCCATTTTTAATCTCATGAGTTTAATAAACTTGTTTTTTTAGAATATTTGTTCAATAGCTTGGTTAATTTGGGCTAAAAGCCTAATATCTACTGATTTTCTGCGATTTAGGGTTTTGTTTACTCTTCATAGCTAATTTGCTTGTAATTTGATATTGTTGTGTATCCTTTCACTTTATATGATGACCTTGAGCGATATTAGGTGCAATTGGGTGTATAGTGGATGAAACATTGGATTAATGTTAGTTCTTCAAGATGAATGTGCTATTTGTAATATAGTATTGCGCTTTATGTTTTGTTAAATTTGGAAGTTGTATAAGAAGATTACTTGATTTTGGGCTTCGGCATGTGGCGGTTGCTCCACATTAGTTTAAATTTCTGTAGTTGGTTGAATATATTTTTTTTTGGTGTTAAGAGAGCCACAAGGGCGAGTGATGAGAATCGATCCTAGGATCACCTGGACCCGAGAGGAGAACTCTAACCACTTTTTTATCCCTCACTCTCATAGGTGCTTGAATATGTTCTGTATCGATATTTTTGAAACAAGAGTTGTGGTTTAGGCAAGTTGGCAACATTAGGCATGGTGTGCTAGAAATTGTGGTTTGTTTTGTGCGTGGGTAATTGTAGATGACATGGGTAATTGAAGATGTTTAGACTCATCTGATATATGATACGAAGTATATATGAGTAGCAAGACTTACCCTTTGTTTGGATATAAGGAAATGGAAGAAAAAGAAGGGAAGAGAAAAGGAGGGGGACAAACTCTCTTGTTTGGGTAAATGATTGGGGGAAGGAAGGGAAAGGAGAGGGAGGGATCCATTTTCCCTCTCTCTTTAATAATCATAATACCTCCAAATTAGGAGAGATTTGAAGGGGAATGGAGCTCACCTCCCCCCCCCCCCCCTTCTTTTCCCTTCCCTTACTCCTCTTTCCCTCCCCTTCCTTTTCTTCCTTATTTGCTATCCAAACAAAGCGTTAGTGTGGTAAATTGCGGATTGGGAAAATGAAGGTTTTGTCCCTTTAGCAAATCTTGTAAACATAGATACTTTTAGTTTAGTTGTTCTTGTAACAGGCTACACAATTTCAAGCTACTGTATAAGCTAAGCTAAGTGTCTGCTGGTTATCTTTCTCTATTTTGTATACCGTAAAAATGTGTTTTCGTGTAAGAATTTGTCTTGGATGTGGCAAATTGTGAAAGTACTTCTGAAATAACAAGGCAGCTTACTTTCTAAAATTTGAAGTTGGAAACATGTCTGTTAGAATTTTTTGGTCTCACAAGGATAGTGGTTTGGTTTTGGTTTTGGTTCTTAGCATATTGTAATAAACATGGAAGAGCTCCTAATCATAAATTAAGCTCTATGAAGCCCTCTTTTTATTATTTTTTTTAAAATATTTGCATTCTTGAAGATTAGAAAGAAAATGGCAGCAAATTTAATAAGTTCCATATTTTTGCTTTTATTGTTTTTAAATGGGGAATAACATGGGTTAAATAGGTCGATTAAGTGCTAATAAATACTTCTTTAACATAAGAAATTTGCTTTAATTTTGACAGATATATGTATTGAGGAATCAGACAAGTATGTTTGTCTTTACTGCTTATCTCTCACTACTAGAAATTTTTTGGGCTGATAAAAGGTAATATTGAATCTGCCTCACCCTGCTTTCAGATCATTTTGGGATACTTTTTTTACTTTAGGTGAATAAGAAGATATTAGCACTGCTTTTTTGGAACTTCAATTAGCCTCCTTGGGATTCAAAGGAGACTACCATGCTTCGTCAACTTGGATATTTACTTACAATTTGCAGAGTTATTCAACAAGATCTCAAATATAAGCTAGGGGCAGTACCCAATTATCATTTTCTCTATTCTCTTCACATTTGTCCTCCATGTTTTCCCTCCAACCTGGCCAAGTTTCGTGCTTTTCACCTTGAAGAAGACTCATATTTATGTAATAAAAGAATAGAGCTTCATGAGCTTCAAAAGAATTCTGAAGAGCTACCAATGAACTTTGATATGACTGCTCTCAAGGTTCAAAATTTGCTTAAAGAATTCTCAAATAAATCAAATGAAGAGCTTGTTCAAGCTCTTGATAATTGTGTACTGACTTTAAGTGAGGATTTGGTGCTTAATGTGTTTAAACGATTTCATTCAGATTGGAAATTGGCATTTCTGTTCTTTAGATGGGTATCTAATAATCCAAGTGGGTATTTGCCAGAATCTAGGGTTTACAATGAACTCCTTGGGATATTGGGAAAGGCCAAGCGGTTTCAGGAACTCATTCAAGTGTTTGATGAAATGTCGAAGAGAGGAACCATAAATGAGAGGTCGTATGGGATTGTGGTTCATAGGTATGCTGCTGCTCATAGGATTGATGATGCAATTGAATTTTTCAATAAGAGGAAGCAGTATGGCCTTCAGAATGATTTAATTGCTTTCCAAACACTTTTGATGTCTTTGTGTCGGTACAAACATGTTGAGGCTGCTGAATTTTTGTTCCATTCAAAGAAATGTGAGTTTCAGTATGATACTAAGACCTGGAATATTATCCTTAATGGTTGGTGTGTGCTAGGCAGTCTACGCGAAACAAAGAGATTTTGGAATGAGATTATCTGCTCTAGATGTAAACCTGACAAAATTACATATGGGATTTTCATAAATGCACTATGCAAGTCAGGGAAAATTAGTACGGCAGTGAAGTTGTTACATGCTATGTGGGAGAAGGGTTGCACTCCAGACGTGGTAATTTGCAACAGTATCATTGACGGGCTGTGTTTTAAGAAGAGAATTCCTGAAGCCATCAAAATATTGAGGGAGATGAATGAGAAAGACTGTGAGCCTGATGTGGTGACTTACAACTGCCTTATTAAGCACATGTGTAAGATTCAGAGGACGGAGGCAGTCTTCCAATTATTGGATGAAATGGAGCAGAAGGGTGGTAATTGTTCCCCAAATTCTAGGACTTATTGTCACTTATTGACATCTACAAAAAGACCAGAGGAAGTTCAGACTTTGCTTGAAAGAATGAAATCAAATGGATGCGAGATCACAGGAGACTTGTATAACTTGCTGCTGAAGTTGTATATGAATTGGAATTGTGAAGAAAATGTTCAATCAACTTGGGCTGAAATGTTGAGAGATGGCATGGGACTTGATCAGCGATCTTACACGGTTATGATCCATGGGAGGTATGACCAAGGAAGAATAGAAGATGCTTTGGATTATGTCGAAGAAATGACATCGAAGGGAATGGTGTTAGAGCCCAGGACGAAATTGTTGGTTGACGCCATGAACATCAAGATGAAAGAGAAAGGTATAGAAAAAATCAACGATACTAAACTGTCTAGCTATGCGCATAAGAGAGCAGATACATTGCTCTCTCATCAATGAAGCTTTGGCAATGCTGAACTTTTCTTTGGTTGCGTATATCATCCTCCGATATACTACTATGTAGGAATTTCTCTGTATTAACACGAACCTTAGGTGCAATTTTGTTCTACTTCTACATGTATTGTATTTTTTTTTACCTTCATCCTTTTTTTTTTTTTTTTTTTGCTGTATATAATGACACGAAAAATTATTACTGCTGCAGAAGTTATTATTTAGAGAATAACATAAATTCAGGGAATAAATGTTCTCTGTTTTAATTCATTGGTCATGTTTGGTCACCTTTTTTTTTTGGTAGTCCGGAAAAGGAGCAGGGTTTATATGGGCAATGATTATTGCTAGGAAATGCTAGGGTCACTTGCTCAATTGTTTGTCCAAATGGATGATTTGCAATATCCTTGGATTCTAGAACTCCCACCGCTCCGCGTTAAATGGGAAGGTATTAAGGATTCTTGATCTCAACCAAAGTTAATACTACGTACAAATTATGGATCAAATAGAGTAGTATTTTTCTATGTGAAACTCTAGTAGCCACCCTTTCTCCTTTCTCTTCGTGCCTCATTGCTCATTGTAATAGAAACTAAATCCTCAACTCCCTTCGAATCTTACCAACCTTATTCTATTTCGTAATAGAGACTAATATTTATATAAAAAAAAATTTATACTTCCTCCGTTCTTTTAATATTATAGCACTTTTCTATTAAAGAAATTTCACAAATATTGCACAGTTTTTATTTTAGGACAAAAAATATCTTATTCTTTAGTTTATGTTTACATCATATAGACAATTTTGTATTTTTACTTTCTCTTTCTTCCTTTTTCCTACTACCAAATTTATTGTGCTCAACCTATATGGTGCAATAATTAAAAAAAAAAAATAGAGGAAATATACAATCGGGTGCAAGGTGTACCCAAGGGTAGTTTTCTAGCTCATTAGGTGCACCTACATATATGTGCACGCGAATGTATATAAAAGGTGCCCAAATTTTCATGTCATAAGGGTGTGGTGGCTAGGGCACATAAACTAACTAGGGCTGAGCAAAATTATTTGAAGATTCGAAAAAAATCCGATCCGATAATTATGGATATCTGATCCGAATTTGATTCCGGATCGGATATCTGATCCGGATTTTTCGGATATCCAAATTTTGGATTTCGGATATCCGATATCCAAAAAAAAGTCGGATATCGGATATCCGAACCGATATGCGAAAAAGTCGGATATCGGATATCCGAAAAAAGTCGGATATCGGATATCCGAAAAAAGTCGGATATCGAATCACTTGTTTTTCCTTTTTCATTTTTCGAATATTCTCTATTTCTCAACCTTCTCAAAAAAAAAGGGGGGGGGGGGGTTGGAGAGTTGGAGACTGAACCTTAATTCCCTAAACATTCAAACAGAAACTACTCACGCTTCTCTCTCTCTCTCTCTCCTCTCTCCTCTCAAAGTCTTAAGGCTCTCAAATCTCAGCCATCTCACTCCCAAATCGAGTGCGCTCCTCTCAGATCTCAATCATCTCATTCCCAAATCGACGGCGGCTTCTCCATTTCTTGGGTTCTTCAGTTCTTCCTCACGACTTCTTCCTCTTCAGTAAGTTTCTTCCTCTTTTTGCTCCCTTGTTCATTTTCTCCTCTTTTCGCTCCCTTAGGTCATTTGATGTTGATTTTTATTTTGATTTTGATTTCGCTAATTATATCAATTTTACATTATCTGATTAATTTTCTTTATTTTAGCGTGAATTTATTTTAAATTCAAATTAATTTCTTCATATTATTGTTTTTTAGCTATAATGTTATTTTGCGGTTCTATTATTTATGTTTAATTTTGTATTTTCTAAGATTTTTTTTGAAATCAAACTAATTTTCCGATTCGAATTTTTTGAGTTTCAATTTTAATTTCAGTTTGTGGCTTGTTCCATTTGAATTTCACGATTAAAATTTTGTATTTGTTGCCATTATTGTTATGATCTTAAGCGACGAAGAGAAAACGAAGGTTTTGTTGAGGTTGTGGCTTGTTGGATATGAATTCCAGTGTATATTGCATGTTGTTTGGGTTTGTGTTAACTGTTGAGTATAGGAGGAGGAGAGAGATAAGCAAGCCTAGGTTTGGGTAATTATGTTGAAATTTAACTTAATTTCTTCGTATTTTGAGATTCATATGTGTAATTTATCGTATTTTGTGTAAATTAGGTTTTTAATTAGATTTTAGCTTGATTTTAGTTTGAGATCTTGCTACTATGATGTGTTGCTTTTGCTTTAGGCTGTAATGGCCAGAAAAATTTCTTCAGAGGATGATGCATTTTAGACTCCATCATGCATACACTAGTAGAAAATCATAAATCAGCAGCGAGAAATGCGCACCGGTTTTTAAAAACCGGTGGGGAAAAAAAATAGGCGGGACTTGAGGAAAGAGAATTCGCACCGTTTCAAACCGATGCGAAATGCTTAAAAAAACAAAAAAAAAACCCCGCCCTTATCTTATTCTTCCTTTTGTTTTTCTTTCTTCGTTTTCCCACTTCACTTTAGTCTTTCAGTCTTTCTCTTTCTCGTTCCCTCCTCTTTGCCGCCACCTACACCAGAACCCCCTCCATCACTGTCGCCACTTGCCGCGGAACTCCCTCCACCACAGCCGCCTCCTCCACCGCGAGCAATATACGCCGGTGGAGGTTCCTTTCCCTCTTTATTCTCCTCTAAGCAGCGACATAGGAGAAGCCCCGAGGCTCCCCATAGCCGTCGCGCCACAGCCCCAAGGTTCGCCACAGCTGCCGTGCCACAGCCCCGAGGTTCGCCACATCCCGAAGGTTCTCCACTGCCGCCGCGCCACAGCCGCCACTCCTTAGCCGCGAGGTTCCTCCTCCATCGGCCGCCATCCTCTGCCCTCCATCTCTCCTTCCCTTCCACCTCCAATTATGGTAGTTATTCTCACCTCTTCCACCTAGGGTTAATATTAATTTTTTGGGCATTTTGAATAATTATTTTCAATTCTCTACCTATATTTTCTTTTGCATTTTGAACAATTGTTGGGCATATGAACAAACTAAAGTTAGGGTTTCAATATAATTCAACCCCTTGTGAATTTTAGGAGGTTTTAATGGGTAATTTTGAAAAATTAGAGATTAGTAACCATGTTAGTAAGTTGAATTTTGGTATGTAAAATATAACTTGGTTGAATTGTGAATGTAGCTACAAAAAAAAAAATACTATTTCCCAAATTTCTAATTTTGTATGAATTAATGATTAGCAATTGTGTTCTAAATTAGTGAATAAATAGTTTATCAATTGTTAGTTTGATGAATGATGTGTTATAGTTTACCAATATATGTAGGTACTAATTAATTACTAACTTTTGTTTCTTTTTGTTTTTTTTATAGATTCATATGTGAAACATAAGTTTAGCTTGAAGACTACATATTTAGCTCAAGTGGGAAGTTAGAAAGAGTACATCCATTGTACTTGCTATATTAGTATGAATTATAAACTTTACTAAGCTATATTTCTTTCTCTTTACCCATTTAATAAAAGTTTTTTCATGCTATTACAACTTGTGTATTGTTTAATGACAAATAAATACAAGAATATATAAAATGCTTGCATCATCATATGCCTAAATACCCGTTCAAGGCTTTCTCATTAGGAGAAAGTCTTGAATAGTCCCCGATTGGGGCTGTTCTTGAACGTTTACTCTCACTTAGGTGGTGAATGTATGTCTTTTTTTTTCGATTTTCAGGAACATCTTGGCTTACCATTTCCTCTGGGTACATATGTGGGTGAGTAATTATCTACATCGTGTACTTGGAGAACTGGGGGGAATTGCTGCCGGATTTTCCTTAAAATTGGAAAGTCGACATACATTCACTAGTAATTGCTCTTTTCATTTGATTTCAAGCCTTAGCCGCCTAAAACTAAGTAATGTTGACATGTTACGAGAAAGAATGAGTTCATTTGATAAGAAATGCAGAAAATAGGCAAAGTAGAAGTCAAATAGGCCTTATTTGGGCCATTTTGGATGAAAATGCATCCTAGAACCCTTAAATTGCTCTTTTCATGTGATTTCAAGCCTTAGCCGCCTAAAACTAAGTAATATTGACATGTTATGATAAAGAATGAGTTCATTTGATAAGAAATACAGAAAATAGGCAAAGTAGAAGTCATATAGGCCTTATTTGGGCCAATTTGGATGACAATGCATCCTAAAACCATGTGATTTCAAGCCTTAGCCGCCTAAAACTGAGTAATATTGACATGTTATGAAAAAGAATGAGTTCATTTGATAAGAAATGTAGAAAATAGGCAAAGTAGAAATAATATAGGCCTTATTTGGACCATTTTGGATGAAAATGCGTCCTAAAACCTAGTAAATTGCTCTTTTCATGTGATTTCAAGCCTTAGCCGCCTAAAACTAAGTAATATTGACATGTTATGAGAAAGAATGAGTTCATTTGATAAGAAATGCAGAAAATAGGCAAAGTAGAAGTTAAATAGGCCTAGGTAATAAATTTTTGCCCAAGTGAACTTGTAAGTGCATGAATTTGACTATTACTTGCTTGTTTATACTTACAAATAATAGAATCATTCTATATATTTGAGCCACTTATAATAAATCAAGTTTGGTATTTAATTTTTTAAAAATGCATTTATACATGCATAACCTAAGTAATTAATTCTAACATAATTTTTAGTTTATTCCAAGTTTTGCAAGGTACAAAGGGAAGATCCGTTGACAAGTAAGGAACTTAATGAAGTTCGAGACATGTTGGCGTCTTTCATCACCTTTAATTTGTAAATGTCACTTCTATTTGAATTTAGATTTTGTTAACTTTTTAACTACATTATTAATTAGTAATGTTTGTAAATATGACACTTTTTTTTTTGAGGAATTGTAAATATGACACTTCATTGTATTGCATTTGGGATTAGTAATATCTATGTATTGTTATTATTTCAATTTAGAAATTATTATTATTATTTTTATTATGTTAATAATAATAATTATAATTATTATTGTTATTATAATATATTATAATAATGGTAGAATTTATGCAGGATGTACAAGTTTTATTATTATTATTATTATTATTATTATTATTATTATTATTATTATTATTATTATATTATTATTATTATTATTATTATTATTATTATTATTATTGCCAAAAAAACAAAAAAAAATATATATATTGTTAATGGCACCGGTTAACCGGTGCCAATTGTATTTAAAACCAAAAAAACAAAAAGCGCGCCAATTAATTTTAGCACTGGTTAAC